CCCCGTGCTTTTCAGCCTCTTCCCTCTCTTTTCCTTTCTGCATTTCGGCAAACCTGGGCAATCAAACCGGGCTCGTGGATTTCTTTCCCACAGCTGTGGTGGGGGACAGCCCCAGTGGACCAGCCTGAGGGTAGGGCAGAGCTAGGGGCTAGAAATGGGGCAGCACAGGCTCCTACACACGCAAATCCCATTTGTTCCCCCCTCTGCAGACTCCCCAGACTTCGTTTCTTGGAATCCCACCTACATTTTGGGTCTTTGCTCCGGCACCTGACAATCTGCCACTCCTTCAGAGAGAAAACAAACCCCCCCCCGATATGTTTTGCTGTATCAGAAGATGATGGGCAGTCAGCAAGTTGAGGTGCTGGCTGGTCAGCTTTGCGCAGTGCTGACCTGCATCGTACATCCCAGCACCGTCTGCAAGCTGAAATGCAGCTGCGTTTTCATACGCGTGCTTACTTACAAAATCAAAGCTGCTGTTCGTTGGTTTTACTTTGTTAATTAATTAAGCTGTCTTTCAGGAGGCATGCTCACTGCTGAGCTCAAGTGGAGGAAGGTAAGCCTTTCCTGGACAAGGATTTTAGGCTTTCAGTTGTACTTACTCCACATGTTATTCGGTCACAAATTTTCTGTGGGCTCAGCTGACCCACGCAAGGTGGTCTCCCTCCAAGCCTGGAATGTTATCTTTGCAGTACGGTGAATGACTTATAATTTGCTGTTGATTTTTCCACTGGGGATTCAGGGTTGTACCTAAATCTAACTAAAACGGTTTTATTTTTACTCGGCACGCAGGAAAAGCCCCTACTGACAGGACATACAGTATCTCAGAGGAGCACCCACCACTGACCCATATCACAAGGTCCTGCACTACACCAGCTGCCATCACCTTGGTCCGATCAGCATCCACGTACCAAACTCAAGCAACCAGGCTTGGCACAGGGGAGGCAAGGGGATCCCCCCTCCCCACGTCCCGGAGCCGCCCCACCGCCTCCACTGCAGCTCCCTCTCAGCGTGGGGAGCAATGCAAGCAGCCCGAGCGCTGTGCAAGCCCGTATTCCTGTAGCACTCCTATTCATAAATCTCCTTCTTCCCTAAATATCCCCATGGTAAATAAGCATGAGGACTAAGAAAACTGAGACATGGGAATTCTGAAAACCTACACGCCAATAACTCACGTTCTGGCATGTTACTAATACACCGTATATTCACGATTAGATCACAGATAACACAAGGGACATTCATAATTCCAGCACACCTCTGCATATGGAAAGCTAAATTTTGCAGCCCTTAAAGTCACCACCATGAGTCTTCTGCTCTGCTTCCTGAGCATTTTACTTGGTAAGCCAGGAAGACTGACTTCTCTTTCATACTGTGGCTTTATTAAGGATACACCGAGGCTTTACACAACCTGGCACCCACTCTGAGGTCTCTTTACGCTGCCAGAGCAGCATAACGCAGCCGGCACAAGCGTAAATGAAAATCAGGCCCCAGAGGTCTTTTCTCCCCGCAGTGCAGACTTACAGCTCCCATTACACATTTGCATTAAGGGCTGCAACCCTCCATAAAATACACTCACAAACTTAAAACACATTAGAGACTAGCTAGACTCAGCACATAGAGGGGGCTTCTGCTGAGAATATTTGTCCTCAAGTATGACATAATAAAAATTTATAGGAATGGAGGACTGCAAGGGACCACCAATTTCACAGAGACTGAAGTCTGGAGGAGCGGGAAGGGAGGGGTGTTCTCCAACAAAGGGGGCCATGACAAAAGCATCTTCCACGCCCTTTCGGAAAGAATGTGATTTATTTATTAGCCTTAATAAACAGGCAGGAAAGAGAGCGGGATTACCCGAATCAGGCATTTCTGTATCTTCTGGAGGGTTTTGCTTCTCTTACTTTGTACCAGGTCTCATTGTTCATACAAGAGTAAAGCGACTTGTGGTGTGACACCAAGTTATAGCTGAAGGCTACATGGGAATATGTAGCAAACAACGGAGGATCTGGCCCACATTTGGTAGTATAACCAATAAATAGGACAGAGGAGAGAATAATGGGCAACAAAGGTACAAATCTGCTACTAATAGGACCTATCTTCAGGAACACATGCTTTAACTGGGGCTGCTCGGTTAGACCCCCAGCACTGGTCATCAGCCTCTCCCTCCGCAGATCCAAACACAGACCTGGCACACGTGAAGTGGCCGATGCGGGACGATCTGACGGTCTGCCTGACCCTGGGCACAGGGTATCGCTGCAGAGCACCGCGGGATACAGGGTGATGGGCGTTCGCCAGGCCGGTACAGCCATGGCCTGCCCAGCCTGTCCACACGGCGGGTAGAGGCACACTTGGGTCTGTGCTGAAGAGCACCGTTCATTTATCTGCTGCCTTTCAGAGCTTACTTGAAGCCAGTGGCTGAGCACAGGCTTGCAGCCAAACAGTTTGGATGTGTGTTGAGTCAGAGTCAAGTGTGACAGCCCACCCCAAAAATACAGACAGACTTACAACAAGCAAAGCTGTACTTGTGCTGCTGCCTTTCTCTTCTTTTCTTGCTCCGTCTCCCTCCACTTTTACTCACTGTGTCACAAGTCAAGACCTGCTGCTCCTCCGGGCAGAGGGTGTTTTATAAAACATGCTGACATGGGCGTGGATGGTCCAAAACCATTTCTGTTTCGGGTGGGAGTCACCAGTCAGTTTGCTGGGCAGTGGCACACCAGTGAAATGGAGAATTTTGGCCTGCTGCAGGCTGACATCATTCACTGTTTTACAAAAAAATCACTTCTCTGAAAGTTTCCCGGTGGCACAGGGTAAGTAATGACAAACATAGCCATGGCAATGACCGAGATGATGAGTATAATGCAACAGAAACCTCTACAAAGATTTAAAGCAGTTTTGCATGGCTGTGGTTTAAAGTCAGAGCTGGGAGGACTCTGCAGACAAAAGCACGCCTTTGTAGCCATGTGAGGGACCAAGTGCTCACATCCCCATGCTGCAGGCAGGCGAGCCGGGGCACCGGTGCAGAGCTGAGAGCCAGGCTCTCACACACAGAGCTGCAGGCACTGGGGCGAACTGGCTCTCTGCCCAAGGCTGAGACCAGCGACAGCATCTGCCTGCTTACCTGGTATCTGTCCGAGTGATGGATGTCATCTGAGGAGTGGGGTGATGCTGTTGGAGAATCTCCTTCCCGCTTGATTGAGGCCGACAACAAAATTGACTGCAAGAGAAAGGAGAAATTCATGCTGTGAGCGTCGCCGAGCTCTCTGCCCCTCGCTAAGCTGGCCTCAAAGCCGCGGAGAGCATCTGCCGGGCTGTGGGGCTGCACTGGGGCAGACTGCCAGGCTATGGGGCTGGCTCTGCTCTTCCCCTGAGACTCTGCCCCACGAGGGGACCGGGGTTGCAGGGTCTAGCAAAGTGCAAATGCATCAGGCAACAAAGGGGTGGTCATTTTGTCCCCAGGTCTGGTGGCTGGGGGCAGAATCAGTCCCTGCTGGAAATGATGCGTGAGGACCACACCAGAAATTCACAGGGTAAGGTGAAGGCGTGCTGACGTGGAGCGGTGCTAACATGCCCTCCTCCACCCCTCTAAGTGCCACTAAATCTCTCAATCGCTTTGCAAACCGCACTAAAGCTCTCAGCACCTTTGCAGTGCAACTACCTCTTCCTTCTGTAATGATGCTATTTATTTTAATAAGTAGCACAGAAAAAGAGGGCCTTTTAGAAGGTTAAAAAGATCAGTGATATTTGAGACCTAAGAAATCACTGATAAACTTCAAGTCAATAGTAGGTAAGTCTAAATTCTACACACGGTGAACTCTAGCGGGAAAATTTCTGCGGGAGTTTGACAGCATCTAAAAAAACATACACTGAGTTGCAAGTGAATTTTATTATTAGAAGAGTTTGAGGGAAAAATGCAATTTAAAATTCTAATTTAAAATATAAATTAGCTAAACTAGGCTAAATATAGCCCAATACATTGTAAAAAAATGTACAGTGGAAATGCAGCTCTCCAGATGTTTGTTTCTGAGAATCAGCTGGCAAGATTCGACAATAAATGACTGCTCAGATATGTGTATGTTTGCGAAGGGAAGTGTAGATATCATCTGAATTGGACAGGTCAAGTGTGGTGACAACATTATTAAAAAGCATAATACCTTGGAGAAAGGCAGGTATTCCAGAAACATTTGCCTCTGGGCTGAAATGAAACATGAAAAAATGTGCATTTTTTGGAAAGATATGAGCAAGTGGAAAAATGACTCAGCATACAAATCGGTTCAGTCAGGTGGATGCGATCCCCCGGGCTCGGACAGCTCTCCCGGTGAGAAAAGCATGGCAGCGTGGTTGGCGTGGGCACGGAGGGAGGGCACGCTCGGGATGGAGGCGGGGAGGAGGATTTGGCATGCTGGGTTCAACCCCACGGGCACGAGCTGCCAGCCTTGCCACAAGGGCAAGAGCCGCATCCCTGTCTGCACTGCAGGTCTCTGCCATAAAACATGGCTCTACTGGCCGTGCAGAGACGTGATGTCCTGAAAGGGGTCACGGGGGAATTACCTACTGGGGTGCTCAGTTATCTCCCCGGGGAACGGTCCCTCCTGCCAACACCGAGGGCTGTGCTGGCCTCATCTCGGGGCTGGCATGCTCCTCAGCTCAGCCCAACGGGGATGCCAGGCGCTGGGAGGGCCAGCGGGAGCCGGTGGGGCTGGGGGCATGCAGCGAGGTCTGCCCCGAGACACCGGCCTCCGCCTCCCAGGAGAGAGACGGGCAGAGCAGGGGGTTCTCCTGCCTCACGTGTTAGCCAAACCCAACCGGCGATCGGTTTTGGTGAGCAGCTCATTTATTTCTGGAGAAGCCCTCTGATAACCATGCGAAGCAGAGTGCAGACCCCGAGCTCCTGCTGTTGTTTAGTTTCTTTATTTTCTCAACAGAGAACGAGGACCATTTCTGAAGAAGCAGGATTGCACATGTCCTACAAAATGGAGGGATGGAGGCTCAAAGCCTTCAGGTGTGACTCAGAACAACAGCCCTGATTGCAGGGGTGCTAATGCCCTTTCCCTCCTCTAATAAGCCAAGCACCCTGGAGCTGGGAGGGTTAAATCCGTTTTGTCTTCCAATGTATTCTGGAGAAGGGGAAAAAATACCCATCTCCCCATTCCTCGGCAACAGACAGACAAACCCTCCCCGCCTCCAGCTCCCCCCTCAGCTTCTGGTAGCTCTAATCCAATATTATTATGTGAAAAATGGTTGGGCTAGCTATGGAGACAGTAAATTAAACGTTATGTATTAGTTTTTAGCGTGTGGTCCCGGGAAGAACGCCGGCCCCATTTATTCCACAAACCTCCTGAGCACCATGGCGATGACCTCTGGAAAAACGCAGGGCTAAACTAATCCCAAAGATGTCAATCTCGAGGCCTCTTCTACATACACTTGCAGTTTAGATTAATAAACTGTCTATTTTTAAATTGTGTGCAAGCACTTCAATTCTAAATACCTCGCCGGCATGTTAAACACAGCGTTAGAGATGCCAAGTCACACTTCCCCTTCACTCTTAGGAAACTTGACTTCATTTGTTTTTCTCATTTCCGTGCGCTGTGCCACACTTTGCCTTTCAGGCAGCCATGGGGGCAGGCAGGGATGCAGGCTCAGGGGCTAAGGGGTTAGGAAAGGCACTCGCCATCAGGGTGACTTTCATTTCTGCATTAGGCCAGCCTCTCTGCCATCCCAATTTTGGCCTCTCTTTTTCCCAAATCGTTGTGTTGGGGCTGTTTCCCAATGGCTAAGTGGCGAGGATGCATGGCCACAGCATGCCAAGCTGAGGATTTGCTGCCCCCTACCCTCACCGCGCTCACTCCCACCGGGTCCCAGCAAGCAGGGAAGGGGCAGTGATACGATCCCCATCCCTCTCTCGACCGGCATCTGGGAAGATGGCTGCAGAGAGAAAAGGCAGCTTTACACATGGCCTCCCAGCCCTCGTGCATGCCCACGCTGCAGGGCAGACCCAAATTCTGGATTCCCACCCCAAAAACGCGGCGCTGGGTGCTCTGTGTGCAGACAGGCGTGCCGTACGGCTGTGCGGAGATGCTCCCTACCTCGGGAACCAGCCGCTTTGGCGTGGTGGGAACAAGCCTTGATGCTGAGATGTCCCTTTTCCCCCTGGGGAAAGGCCACCAGCCAGCTCATCCCCGCCTGGTTGCCAGTGCAGCCCAGCTCCCCTTCAGGGTGCGTCTGAGTGGGGCTACTGGGGAGAGGGCACCCTCCTCCCTCCCCAGTCCCCCCTCCCCTGGCAAACCACGGCTCCCAGCATCAAAGATGGAGCAAGGGCCTTGTGCAAGCGGCCGTGCAGCCTCATATTTCTCCCTCCCCTTTAAATCATCTCTCCATTGGGTAAAGGCACTCTCTGCGGAGGTTATAAACCCTGAGAGGATCAGCCTGAGCATTACACCTGGGGCAAGCTAAATAAAAAAAGGTCACTGGCGCTTTTTAAACATGGACAAAAAAGCAGTAAAATGTGTTTGGAAAAAAAAATCTGGCATTAAATCATGACTTTTTGCCTGGCTTGCCTCATTAAAAGTGGCCTTTTGGAAGGTAAAATTATCATTGTAAGTGATAAGATCTTTAAGAAAATAATTCACGGCTTCTTCACCCTTTAATATGATAGCCGCCACCGGCTAATTTTTTTCTTAATGGCAACGAGGCCATCAATCTTGTCCGAGCCATGTACTCCCTCCTTCCTCCTGCCCCTCCTGCCGTGCTGGGCAGCCATGGCCCCGCTCGGCGTTTCCTTCCCACCCCTTGCAGCCCAGCTGTGCCGTGCCAAGGGGAGGAGACATGTCCGGGTATATGGCTTTACCTGCCTCTGTCCGTGGATCTGGGCTCTCCCTGGGGATGCGGCACCGCAGGAAGCAGAGGCCGCCTAAGCCTTGCTCACACTGCGAGGTTCACACCCTGGTAGCTCCCGACACCCTCCATGGACCGTGCAATTCTGCAGAGCTGGGTTGCAGCATCTGCAAATGTTTCAGCGGTCTCATTGCAATTAGGAACAATGTATAGTTTACGTATTTAAATACACGGGCAGGTTCGGCATGAATCGAACGTGCATCATGCAGCTGGTGTGCCAGCTGCTGTGATCCCAGTCCATCACTCTCCGGACCTGCTCCTCCTTGCTCGGGCGGAAGAGCCACGGGCAGCTCCGAGGCGATGCTGGCAAGGGCACGCCTGCCAACACGCCGCCAGCTCCCGACCCACAGGTGCTCGAGGCGAGGGCTCGGGGCGGTGCGAGGGGAGGGGACGGGTGTCAGGGTGCAGCCGCCGGCCCGAGGAAATGGATGAAAATTGCCGGCACGCACCGCCCCCAGCCCTAAGCGCTGCCTCTCGCCGGCAGCCGGGGCAGGTGTCAGCGCTGGGAGAGCCCAGCCAGTGCCGCTGACATTCTGCTGCCTCTCAAGGCCAGTCATTTGAGAGTATTAAAGTGCTGGACTCCTGCTTTCTGATAGCCCTGGAAAAACACAGGGAGTCTATTTTTCTTAAACAATCCATCACAGCTGCTGTCAGCAGGACAAATACCCTAATCCTGCTTTTTATGTATCTATATGGCCTTTTTTATTTTTTTTTATTTTGGCACAAAGTGTTCCCTGCTTGATGCATTCAGCTTTAACTCTGCCGTCTAAATAGGTACTTATCACTTAACATGGAGGTGATGGCTTGACATGTTTTCTGTCTCCTGCCCTCCCCTCCACGGTAGGGAAGCCGTCAAAGTGTTGCTAATAGCTGTTATCACTTGGGAACTGTAACCCGAAAGCAATGAGTGATACCAGGCCTTGCTGCGATTCTCCCCCTTAACTCTGCTAGCCATTTTTTTATGTTATTGCGGGAGGATCCCTGACACAAAGATGCTACTGTCAGAGCTGAGTTTCCTAGAAGCTTTCGGAGGGTCCACATTTGCTCCTGTGAAAGTTAGAGGTAAAATTATCTAGTGGCTTTTAGCTGGCAGAGATAAAGGTGGGATGGAGCTGGGGATGAAAGGCTTAAATGTGAGAAGGGTGTGAATAGTGAACAGAAATAATGGTATCAGCAGCTTCTGGCCTTTGCTGAAAGATTCCAGTGGTCCGCAAGCAGAATAAGCTTACAGAAATGTGAGCTACTGGTTTATTTCTGTGCATGTTACGGTCACACCTGGGATTGCAATCGAGCTCTGGGTCCTCTTGAGTGAGACACCAGCTA